GACAGTTGAAAAACATAAATCATCTCATGCCAGGTAAGAATAAATAAAAAAATTAATAAAAAAAAAATTTAAACCTCCCCTTCTTGAGAAAAACGTGTTGATTCTGGTTTAGGACGGACCAGACCAGACCAGGATGACCTGTTCGGTAAATTCACCTAGGCATTGGAATTTCCATGAAGTACAACTCCATTGATGAAGTGACAGGCTGGTCAAAGTTTAAAAACTTATTATTATTATTGCTTAAAAAAATTGCAGTCAAGTCAAAAAAAATATAATTATTAAAAAATCTTAATAATAATATGTAATTAACAAGTTACAAATATTTTTAATTTATTATTAAAATTTATTGGTAATTATTTTGTTCTTTTGAAGCTTTAGTGTAACTTTCCCTCTAAAAAAAGTAAGTTTAGTCAAACTGACTGCTCGCTAACATCTATGGTCTGTATTAGCAACTGGCTGAGAAATCTACGGCCAAGATTGCTTCCCACCTTTCACCTTTATTTTTCTAACAACAAAAAACTTTTTTAATTTATATTTTTTGTGGTTTTTTTAAATTCATATTTGATTCTCAGAAGATTTGCTGAAAAATCCCCATTGCAAAATTTATGATTAATATCATTGTTTATTTTTATAATTTAATCATATTTTAATTTCAATCTATGTAGTTTAAAATTTTGGTTTTATTATGTTCCTGTTGTTTTATTATTAAATACTTTGGCCTTGGCCAATTCCATATGCATAATTTTTTTTCTTATTTGATATGAATATTAATTAATTTTAAAGCATTGTTTTTATTAATATATTTCAAGTAATAATGTAAAAATAATGTGTAGGTAATAAATTACATTTTTTAATTAAAATACTCTTTCTATCCTTAATGCATGGCCGAATTTGAGAATTGATATTGGTCATATATTAAAAACTTATTTTATATGCTTATCAATTTTTTTTTTCAAATTAACCCATATTTCCTCAACAATAATTTTCTTTAAAAAAATCACATTTTGAAGGAAAAAAAACAGTTTGAATGGTTATTATTATATTCTTTATTGATATTTATTTATTTGTTCCACTCAAGAGAAAATATTTATTTACTCGCAGCACCTCGCGAAGACCAACTTGGTCCCAGTCTAGGCCTATGTTGGGCCACGCCATGGGCCATTTTTCCCCAGCTAAATCGGTTTCGTGGGCCATACACCACTCTGTGAATATATTATCTTCCGTTCTAATTATAAGACCTCATTTATAGACTATAAATAAAATCTTATAATTAGGATTGCATATAATATTAAACTTACCCTAGCACCAACGGAGAGTCTTGCAGAAAGGACTAATTCTTTATAATGTAGTGTATTAAGATTTGAATCCTTATTAGGAAAAATGTTCATATTTAATATCTGACAGTGTCTCGAATAAAATTGTCTTTAATAAAAAAAAATACCTATACATAGAAAAAAAATGGCCTAGCCTATCTTTATTATCTAGCTATGAAGTATATATTTTCTATCCTTGGTATTCTAATAAAAATTAGTCTCTGTTATTAGCAAATGACATTTTATGTATAAAAAAAGTTATATTAAAAATATTACTCCTCCATCACTTTTCATAGGATCCAAATAATCGAATTGTGTGGTTTAAGAAAATTGTAAAAATTAGTTACAAGTAATGAATGTATAGGAAATATACTTGTTTTCTTTCCAATATGCTCTTATTTATTAATGGCTAAATGAGAGAGAAAAAGAAAGATGAGAATGTATGGGTAAAAAAAAAAGATAATAAGAAAGAGCATATTAATTTAAACTGTATAAAAATATATTTAATATTCAAATAAACTAAAAGAGAATCTGATAAAAAATGAATGAACTAATTCAAAAATCTGAATCTTATAATAAGAGATTGAGGTAGAAGTATATTCTGTGGATATCCAGAAACCTCCAACTCATATAATTGATGTCTTTCATTGTAACTTTCATAAATCCAACCTTCCGAAAAAAACGTGGCCATACACTTTCATCCCACATTCATGAATCCAAGACCAAGACATCAAAAGACCTTTTATTAACCATACGTTTGGTATGAGAAAACCGGAAAGAAAGGAAAATGAGAAAAAAATTTAATGAGTTCATTTTAAAAAAATTAGAAAATTCGGGTTATAGAACTTTAATAAAAAGAATATGTAAGATAAAAGAGCAAGAAAATTTAATTAAAAAACTCGTAATCCCACTTCATTAATTTTTTAAATAAAACTTATTAAAAATTTTCTTCTTTTCCCTTTTTCTCAAATTTTCTCATACCAAACAGACCGAGTTTCTCTGTAAGGGTGCATAAGTTTAAGACTTTTCGTATTTGTCTACATGAATTTGTGATAATATTTTATTATATAAATATATAATTATACATCTAATTTATTTTTTGTAAATTTTTATTTTCTTAAAATATATATATTAAATAAGAGTAAAGTTGATAAGTTATTAAATTTTAAGACAATTAACAAAAAATTAAAAAAAAATTATCATGATAAAGCATATTAAACATAGCTTATGAAAATATGTTCTACATTGATCCATCATATCCCTTCAAATATTGTTTAATGATAAAAAAACTTACAAACAGAAATCTTGCATATGATACTATACACATGGAGATCAAAAGAATAAGAGTTCTTCTCCATCTGTCATTTCTATATTTTCTCGTGCTCTTGTACCTCTTATATTTCCACACTTTATAAGAAAGTCAGAATTCCCATCCCTTTTTATGTGCTCTTTAATTTTTTTCTTTTAAATGAACCTCGTGCAATGTTGCGTGGGGTTAATCTGCAGACGATAAAAGGAAAATGAAAGTTATGCTCTTAACATGAATTACAGCAACATTCACAATCATTACTATAACGTAACTTTTTCTACTTTCTCTTTTTCTATGTACAGTTATGTTTATATTAAGTGCATACTGCCGAACACTAAATATAAGTACATATTTCAATATAAATATAAATTTTGATTCATTATATTATGAGGGACTAACTCATTCTATTAAGTAGGTGTTGGGATGAAAACCAAACCATAGTTTTAAAAGTGATTTTACGGTATACGAAGTAAATATGTAGAGGAGTTTGTCTCGATTTGTGAAAAAGTGCTTTTCAGAAGCACTTTTATATGATGCCAAACGCTTCCTAAATCTAATTTCTATTCCACTTCCTTTTTTTGTCTTTTTTCATTCATCATTTTTTCTCTTTTTATTTATTCTTTCAACAAGCACAAAATTTTGGTTGAACAAAAGCTACATGTACCTGTTCTTCCTCTCATTCACGGCAATGTCATTTTAAAGGTAGAAGTTATTGACCAGAAAGAATTTCATTTACTATGTGCTGGGACTTTGGAAGTCAAGACAAATTTTAAATTCTTAATAGCCTTTAATCTCCAAAAGACCAAAACTGGTACAAATATGTGCAATTATCAACATGGGCTTCAAAAACTATATGGTCAACCCTGGTCCCTTTCATTCATAGTTATATTCTCTCATATATACTCCTCCCGTCTTAAATATAAAACTCATTTTATAGTGCAAATACTATTTTATAGTGCAATTTGTACTATAAAATGAGTATTATATTTAGGATCAAATGAGTACTTTAATAAACAGGAAAATAAAACTACTTTTAATCACATCCGATGATACTTAAATTTGATTCATAATATCAAATAATCATATATTTATATTAAAAATATAGCCCCATAAAAAATGAAAAAAGCGGGTTAATTAAAGCATCTAAATTCAAAAGTCATGAGTACTGTGTAGCATTGAAAATTATGATAACTTCTTACTTTTATTTGTTAGGAAAATGCAATCCCCTTTATTCATAATGTATTTCCTTAAAAACTCATATCAATATCAAAAGTCACATTTTTTAAATTATAGATCAAAATAATTATGCATTACTTTCCCCTGTCAAACCATTTTAAAATTTTAAATAAAAATAAATATTTGTTGGCCAAAAATAAAAGTAAATATTGAAATTCTAAATGTAATTATTAATATGATATATATATCAACAACCATATAAAATAAACAATCCGCGACAAAAAAAGAAATTAGGTGAGCCTGGATTTTAACCCAATGCACTTAATGGTTTATGGGATCTATAGATCGATAAAATAAATAACCAAACCCAAACTAAGCAAAACTCAGTTCTCATGCTTCACCGGGCAATGCGAAGAAGAAGTGATTTTACATTATATATAAGCTAAATATGATGATCAATTTTGCTTTTAAATATAGGACATATTTTCTAGTATAAATTATACTACAAAATGGGTCTTGTATTTAGGATCGGAGGAAGTATCTTATAAAAGAAATAAAAATAATTTTTTAGAAGTCAAACCAAATCACCCCTAAATTCTAGTTGGATGAGGATTAAAATTTGAATGATGAACACTCTTTTGATATATTCAATATAAAAGTAATTTTTAATGGTTACATGTTTACAATGTTTTACACAACATTTTGCGTTGAACGCAAACATGGTTTCATTACCACTATTGAGCTTTCTAGTTGGCCCCCCCAAAAAAAATTATTATTATTTTGTTAAATTTCTAGGGGGGAAAGGGTAATAATGATACTCAAATCTCAAAACATTAATTTCACAACAATTTAGCCTCTAAAAAATTATACGAAAGAGGTGTAGCAAATATTGATTCAGATAATTATAAATAAGAGAATTTCAGTACCAAATCAATAGAAATGATTTATAAAACTTAAATGCTTGATTTTTAAGTAAAATTCTCATATTTGCAACTATCTCAGATGATACTTCAAAGGGAAATTTGGTTAAACCTATTTATTTAAAATTTTTATTCACCAGAGAGCCTTGGTACAAGTGTACAACTTATTTTTAACACGTATGGCTCTCCTTTAACTGCATACATTCTATCTTTAATTATGTGTAAAAAATTTTACAACGAAAATTACTTACACATAATTAAAGATATGATTGTGCCATTCGAATGCAAGCCCCTCTAATCAATAAAATTTCTAAGTAAATACTTTTAACCAATTTTTTCTATCTGTAATTTACCTTTCGTGAAAAATTTTAGAACTTAAACAGTAATTAAATTAATATTTTGAGACTTAAATATCATTAAAGAAGTTAACTATTAATTATTACTATTATTAACGGTTGCCGCGAGCAAACCTAAATTTCCTTCTTTTTTTTTTGTCCTTGTACTATAGCAAAACTAAATTTCTAAATCACTCTGATTGGACCATTTCTTCAACTTGCCTGCTCGTCGACGACCACGGCGTGGACTTGCATGTTGCCGGGCCCATCTGCCGGTGCCTGAGCTCCGGCGGGTTCTCCTCCTTCAGTCCTCCCATTCGAATTCAAACTCGGATTTGTGGATTTCTCTAGCAGCGAATGGCGACAGTTGGGGCAAGAAGAATGTGACAAAAGCCATGTGTCTATGCACCTCACATGGAACCCGTGATTGCATTTTGGCAGCATTCGCACCTTATCTCCTTTCTCGAACTCCCCGAGGCATATCGGGCACTCCGTCGCCGGTATGTTCGCCCCGGGCCCGTACTCTTTCACCGGAATCCGGCTCAGGTGACGTTTCTTCAGGCCCGTTGAGGCAAGCCTGGCAGCTGTTTGTTCTGTGGTCTCTGTGGAAAATCTTTGGCTACAACGCAACACACATCGCACCATCGAGTTCAACCCAAGCGCGCATATTAATGCGCACAACAAAGCCGCCAGTATGATCACCATGTTCGCGTCGAAGTTTACATCTCGCACGAACGATTCATGGGTCTTACTCCTATATGCCGGAGACACACTTAGCCCGGCGTCGAGAAGACGGCGATGCATATTCACCGCTCACAGGTTTTCGCTTTCTGATGGATCTTAAACCGAAGTAAGGATTTCGAAGGGTTTTGCTTGTGTCTTCAACTTCGAAGCACAAAAACGGTATTCACTTCTGCTTCTTGGATGGCAACTGGTTTTTGTCTTGGAGCAAAATTTGAAGCACACACCGCAAAGAATTTTTATTGGTTTCTGAACTTTGAAATCATGGAATGTTACTTGTTTCGGCTTCTTGACTAGAAACTGGTTTCCGGGTCACTGATACTACGGCTCGTGGCAAATTTACTTATGGGTGGAACCAGAATTTGTAGCAGCTACGGGTAAGGACTGATCTGATGGGTTTTCTTGACTCTGAACTTTGAAATCTGGGAATGATATCACTTTCTGCTTCTCGACTACGAATTGATTTTGAGTCTCTACTCAGCTGTGGCAGATTTTCTGTTGGATATATGGGGTTAAAATCTGAAGCAGCATCTACTAAGGATTGGTTTGATGGTTCTTCTTCTTCTTCTTCTGGGTCAATTTTGAAAACCAGGGATGGTATTTCCTTTGAGCTTCTCAAGTAGAAACTGATTTGTGAGTCATGGCAGCTTGGTAGTGAAGATTCCTGCTTGGAAAGGGACACAGAACAAGGTGAGATATAGAAGCATCTTTGATCTTTCGCCCCCCCCCCCCCACTTTCCTGTCTACAGGGATAAAGGGAGAAAAAGAGAGTGGTGAAATTGGTTTGGTGGGTATACTGTTATCCAAACTGGGGACCGTTCTGTTCTGGTGTTTGATTCCCCAGCTTCCTCCTGATCAGAAATGGTCCCGTTTAGCTTGCAAGCTAGGCTGCTTCGTTGAGCAAGATTGCCAGAGAAGATTGAGAGAGATTTGTGGGGGAACTAGAAAATCTCAAAGGCCTTTTACCGAAACCCCAGATTTAGGTTTTTGCCATAACATGGCAAGTCACCCACAGGTTACTTCAGAAGCAGGGAAATAGCATTACACACACGCACACATATATAATATAACAGACAAGTGGGTGTATTGTTCATAAATAGGGTCTACTCCGGTCTTAGGAAACACCACATGCGCCCGACACAAAATTTAAAGTCACAAAAGGCAAAGGGATCAGTCGTCCATGTGCTAAAGAAATTTAGTTATAGCTCATACCAAGAGTTAATCTACATATAAACATGGAAAAAACAAGTAGGCGCCAAACAAAGAATTTGCTTATGAATAAATCCCATTTACATGTTAACCTCTGTGATAAACATTTTGCTACAATCTTCTAAATCTAATATATTGTTAGAAGAAAAATTTATTAGTGATTAATTTCTTTATTTAATATTATCTTATAAACTTTTCAGGTTGACATCTAGTGCTTATCACATCAGTGAGTATTGCATGTTGATTAACATGATGAAATTTAGACCGTTTAAATCTAATTTGGATAATAGATGTTTAAAACTTTTACATTTTACTATTTTAATTTGATAGATTTATTTTTTGAGAAGTGACATTTATAAAATTATATTTAATTTAAATTTTGTATAAATTAAAGTGAAAAAAATTGAAATATGAAAATTGAATTAAATTAAATTGGGTTGATACAATATTTGGTCTGTTGAGCTTAGATTCATTTTGGTTTTGATCCTTTAAATTTCAAACCATAAGTTTTAATCTCTCAATAGGAAAAATGATCTGAGTTTTTATCAAACTAAAAGAACAAATATTTTAAATGAAAAAAAATTTAAAGGATTAAAACTAAAATAAAAATAAACAATTTAATATTAATGTAGATAGTGCAGGTTAATAATGAGCACCCACGTACATGTGCTCCTACTCGTCATATGCTCGCTCTGGTTTGCCACGTAAAATGGCGTTTTGGCAAAAGCAAAAATCTTGCTTCTCTCTGCTTAAAAAAAAAAAAAAAATCTTGTTTCTCTCTCCAGAATGATATTTTGCGGTGACATGACCCCATTCTTTTTTTTTTTTTGGCCAAAAGTGACATGACCCCATTCTAAACAACACTCGTTTGCAGGTAGGATCAGTAAATTGGCTTCCTTTATCAATTTTTTAATAAAATTATAACACATAATTTTTTGAGCAATTGTACTTGCAAATACAATTATAATATTATTACAAACCATAAAAATATAAAAAAGGGTAGAAGTCTCCTACTAAAAATTTTGTTAGTGAAAATGATCTAAATTAAAACATTGGTTCTTTCTGTATACAAAATTTTTGGAGCACCAAGTGTAAGAATTTATCGGATCATTTTCTCCAACAGAATTTTTAATTAAATTTTTTTTCTCAATTTCTCCAAAAAATCCTAATTAAGTTTTTTTAAAAACATTTTTGTCATGGACTTAAAGTGTACTTTTTTTAATGTTGCACCAAAATTTTGGTGGAAAAAAGAGTTTCTTTTGTGAAAATGGCCCAAAAATATTATACTCCTCCGGTCCTTATTATAAGACCTAATTTGACTTTTTATTTGGTCCTAATTATAAGACCCAATCCATTTTTTCTCTTATATTTATGCATTTTTTTCCAAGATAATCCTTCTAATAATGATAGTTTTAGCCAATATACTTAATTAGCAAGGATATTTTAGGAATAACAACACTTATTTATTATAAATAACCAATTTAACTTACTTCCTTAATCTCCTCAAATAAGTCAATTGGGTCTTATAATTAGGACCGGAAGAGTATTAGATATTGATAGAGGAGATTTGCCTACCTAAGACCTAAAAGACAATAATTAAGAAACTAATGGAATGGAATCATGAACAGTTTGGTATCAAATCCATGGGGCAAATGCGAAATGACTTTGGTTATGTGTAACTGTCCATGTTGCGGCAGTCTCATTAGCCTTAGATTTTTTGTGACTACTTTTTGAAGGGTGACGAAGCAAACTCACTTGGCACATTTGTATCAAAAGTAGGAAGAGCATAAATAAAAAGAAAAGAAAAAGTAAAAGGGGAGAAGAAATAAAAATCATCAGCCCCGTTAAAATATCTCTACCTTCCTTTCACTGTTCGTGTTAGGCGGCTTATCGTACCTAGCAAGCTGCTAACTGATATTTTGTAGCTTCTTTTCTTAGATTCTTTCTTCTTTTTTTTTCGGTGATAAAAAAAAAAACTTTAGTTGATTGGAGATCCAGAAGCAGCATAAAATTTTTGTACTGGTTAGTAATACTTCTGATTCTTAATATTTCCTTTGATTCTTAATATAACACTTTATTTGATTTTTATTTTAATTTTAAATATAAGACTTCAATCTATTTTGTCTCTCATATTTATTATTATTTTAATATAGTCCTTCTAACAATAATAGTTTTAGCCAATATACTTGATTAGTAAGGATATTTTAGGAAAGACAACACATATTTATTATAAATAACTAACTTAACTTCTTTCCGTAATCTCTTCAAATTAGTCAATTAGCTCTTATAAATAGGATTGAAGGTAGTATAAAAGTTACTCCTCCGATCCTTAATATAAGACCCATTTAACTAATTTGATTAGATTAAGGAAGTTAGGTAAGTTAATTAATTATAATAAAAGTGACACATTTTTCCTAAAACACCATAATCATCTTTCTTAATACTCCCTCTCTCTTTTTTACTTGATTATAGTTGAGGGAATATCTATAGGGGTAATTTAGAGAAAATTGATAAATATGAGAAATGGGTCTTATATTTAGGACAAAAACCAATTCACTAATTGGGTCCTATATTAAGGACCGGAGGAGTAATAAAAATTAGTTAACTAATTTGAGTAGATTAAAAAAACTAGTTAGGTTAATTATTTGTGATAAATAAGTGTTGTTTTTCTTAAAATACCTTTACTAATCATGTGGATAGCTAGAATATTTGATGAGATATTTAACATGTGCAACCATTACATGAACTACCTTAAGAAAAATGGATAAATATAATAGACAAAGTGGATTGAGTCTTATATTTAAAACTAAATTGAATTAGACAAAGTGGATTGAGTCTTATATTTAAAACTAAATTGAATATTAAACTAACTTTTGCATTAAGGATCAGATGCAGTATATCATATTTTTCATTTGGATTGGAATTTTGACGTCTCTAATGGGAACAAGATATCAGTCATAATTCGTGAATTATGTTGTTTATCATAAATTGCAATTTAGATGATCATGTAATTTCTGGTCCACTTCTCTTGTTCTTATGGGTCCGGTATATGTTATTTGTGATAAGAAGAATAGAATTTAGATCACATATCTTTGTATTGATTCGCACCAGTCGATCAACCATCGGTTTTAATCGGTCCACATCATACCATCATCACATGATCAACCTGGTTGAGAATCTTTATTTTACAGAAGTTGGGTATGCAAACATGGTGCCAAAAAAAAAAAACAAAGGATTTTATTTAGGGTAAAATAGTATATTTAGCATTTTGGTGTTATTTTCCATATATATCTAAACCTTAATCTTTTTTTTTCTTTTAACATCCAGTATTTTGATTTTTTTTTTTATGCATTTAGCGTCATTGATATTATTTTTTAATTGTATCTAGTATCCTTATTTTATTTATAATTTATGATACTGAAAATATTATAAATAAAATGAAGGTGTTAGAACTACTAAAGAAACATTAAAGTACTACATGTGCCATCTTTCATAGTGGTAGGGTTTTTCAATTTCAAGAAATTGACGTTGAGAGTCTTGATCACTTTTGTTTCCTCCTTATAGGAAGGCCTTCAAACACACATTTATAGGATGAATCCACAAAATCTGCCTAAATTTGCTGCACTCACAAAATTAATGAGATGTGAACAATCACACTAAAAAAAGCTCATTATATTCAAATCTTAGTTAACAGTAAAAAAAGATTAATCTAGTTGATAAATATATAATTTGTAAGGATACATGTTCAAATTTTGATGTGTAATTCTTAAATACTATCTCCGGTCCTTAATATAAGATTTCGTTTGACTTTTGTTTTAATATTAAATATAAGACCCCAATTTACTTTGCCTTTCATATTTATGTATTTTTTTTCAAGATAGTCCTTCTAACAATGATAACTTTAACTAATACACTTGATTAGCAATAATATTTTAGGAAAGACAATACATATTTATTACAAATAACTAACTTAACTTCTTTCCTTGATCTCCTCAAATTAATCAACTAGCTCTTATAATTAGGATCGGAGGTAGTATTTTTTAAGTGCTTTTTAAGTTGTGAGATGTCTTCATTCTAGTGAACCTTTGCAGATTCAACTATTAACCTTTTTTTTTTTAAAAAAAAAACCTATTAGCCCTCCAACTCTGTGTTTGTAATGACTAGCAGTGACGTGGCGAAGCCTTTTGCGTTCAACTCCTCCTTCTCCTTCGAAGGATCCACCACATGTCAATTTCTAAGTTCAGAAGAGCACAAAGTGTTAGAGTAAACATTATTTTTACATCCATTCTTGCGATACTCAGAGAAACTGAGGACAAGCCCTCATCCTTGCTTCTTCTAAGGCTGCCGTGCATCTGGTCGAAAGCTACCCTTGAAGCAATCCTACAAGCGGTGGCAATGATTTGCTCGGTGAGGTTCACAGTAGAATTAGCTTCTGCAGATTCCATTTGCACGTGTTAATTCAAAAGCAAGCAGATTCAAACAAAATAATCAATCAAGCCTTCAAATATATATGGAAAAGAAAAATACTAGATGCTGAGAGGGAATCTATTTAATTTGAAGAGTTTCCAATAAGCTCAAGGAGAGGACAAGACCGCAACCATAAAGTTTACGCGCTTGTATAAAATTAGCACTGGGAAAACGGGTCGGCCCGTCACGGGCTCGGACTTAAACGGGCCAGCCCGTTTAAGCCCGATTCTCAAAAACATGCTAATTTTTCAAGCCCGGCCCGTGGGATAACAGGCTTGGGCTGGCCCGCGGGCTTTTAGCCCTTTTAACTACAAATTTAATTTTTTCATGTTTCTTGCATATTTAATTTCATGTTTCTTGCATATTTAATCAAAATAATAAAATTACTAATAAAAGATATAAATATTAATAAAATTATGTCACAAATAGAAACACCATCATATATAAACATTCAAAATATCCATCACATCGCAATAAAATCCATTAAATAGACAAACTAAATGGAAGAGTGAAGACAAAGATAAACAACCAGATAAACATTAAGTTCACAATAAACAACTAAAGCATAGAGTTCATGTCAAGCAACATCAGGCTTCAAGTGACAGTGGCAACTTCATTTTTTCGAAACTTCATCATCACTATCATCAATTGCAAGGATATTTGATTGTACTTCACTATTAATCGGCTCTTATTGACTTCTAAAAATATCAATGATTTCTTCTCCATCATCAATATCACATGCATTCTCTGCAACAAATAATAAACCACAATCATAGACAATTGAGCAATTAAAAGCATAAATAATTGTAATAGAATACTTATAAATTAGTGAATTACCTTTATATGCAAATCCATGCAACCAGTTACGAGCACAAATGAGAGCCTGAAGGTTTGTTGGAAGAATGGAACTTCTATACTTCGTAAGAACACGTGAACCAATACTAAAAGCCAATTCACTAGCTACAGTTGTGATTGGAATGCTCAAAATATCAGCTGCCATCCTTGAAAGATTTGGGAACCGAGTTTGATTGTTCTTCCACCAATTCAAGACATCCAAATCTTTCCAATTATCAGGCTTCAAAATTGGTTCTTCTAAATAAGTTTCCAATTCAGACTTGTCCATAGAAGAATGATCCATGATTGCATAGATATCTTGATAATCCTACATTATCAAAATTGAATCAAATACAAGCTAAATAAAAAACAAATTTAATTGACAAATTTAAAACTTACATCAAATGCATCATCAAAAGAGGTGGTTGTTGTTGTTGAAGCACTTGAAGTGTGAGAAACATGATGAGTTGTAAGGGTTGAAGATCTACAAGTTGATGCACTTCCATACCCTTGTCTAGAAGATGATGTGATTGATGTTCCCATATTTAAATATTCATTGAAAATGGCATCTAACTTGCTCTTGACATTGGCAATCTTCTCAGAAGAAGTGACAGGGTCAATCTTTGCATAACAATATTTGATAATGTTAAACTTCCATCTTGGATCAAAAATCACAGCAAGTGCAAGAAGAATATTGTAATTTTGCCAATACTTGTCAAACTTTTCTTTCATTCTTCTGGACATCTCTCTAATCACATCATCAATGCTCTTCATGTTTGCATCAAGTAACATCTCAATTTTTGATATTTGCATAAAATAAGAGTTGGCAGTAGGATATGATGACCCAGAAATCAACCTTGTTATCTTTTCAAATGGCCTCAAGAAACTGCACATTGCCTCTGCTCTATTCCACTCATCGTTTATCAGATTAAAACATCTTGGGTAGTTTGAATCACACAAAGCAAAGTTTGCAAAAGCACGGCGATATTTAAGTGCACTCTCAAGCATTGCATAAGTAGAGTTCCATCTAGTGGGCACATCTAATCGTAGGCTCATTGCAGTGTCAATGCCACCTACTTGCTCAACACATTGCTTGAACTGAATCATTCTTGCATCAGATGGAAGCCATTTAATACTCTCTCTAATCTTCCATAAAGCACTACTTGCTACTTTCAAACCTTCTTGAACTATTAAGTTAAGGATGTGGGCACAACATCTTATATGAAAAAATTCACCACCACAAATCAAATCAAAGTTTTCTTGCAAAAGCAACTTCTCTTTTAGTAAGTCTTGCATGTTATCATTTGCAGATGCATTATCTAGAGTAATTGAGAATATTTTATTCTTAATCTCCCATTCTTTCAAACAATCATACACTTTTTTAGACAATTGTACCCCAGAATGTGGAGGCTCCATTCTACAAAATGAAAGTATCTTACTATTTAGTGTCCACTTTTCATCCACAAAATGAGCCGTCAAACATATATATCCTTCAGAAGTCACAACAGTCCAACAATCAGAAGTCAAACATATTCTACCTATACTTTTTTGCAATTTCTGTTTCAAATTATTTTTTTGTTGGTGGAAGAACTTCATAACATCAGCCACAATCGTTTTTCTAGTCATGAGCCTCACATCAGGATTTAACATTCTAAGTAGTTCCCTAATCCATCTATATTCAACAAATGAATAAGGAAGACCATGTTCAATTATGGCCATAGTCATAACCTCCCTAATACGATTATGATCAATTTTTCTAGACCTTATGTTGCCTTCACTGTCCATCATCATCAATCCAATATCATGAAATTTGTCTAAACTTTTGCAAGTCTTAATATGGCGACTTAAATGTGAAGTGCCTTTATCCCCACCCGATGCATATAAACTTTGACAACCATTACACTTTGCCTTATTCACCCCATCAATCTCAACTCTAGTAAAATACTTCCAAACATCAGAGGTCAAAATCCTAGGCTTCTTTGGTTTTGGTTCTTCGGTCACTTGAATAGAAGATGATTTACCTTTGCCATCCGTAGCTAATGATGCATCATCAGTCCCTTGAGCCTTTTCTCTTTGCTGCGGTGAGAAAGACATGATGCTGCCAGCCTGCCAAAAATCAGCAAAAAATTACAATTTAGGATCCTCTATTCCTCTTAATGTATATTAGCAGGCAATTAATAAATAAACATCAAACAGTAATCCATATCAGAATTCAGAAACGATTTAGAGAGTCTAAAATTGGGTGGTCTAAACTATAAAATCAGGAATGAAGCAAAGACTCACTAGAGTAGAGATGCTGACGCTGGTTACTGGTCGGTGGAGAGGTGGTACTGCACGGCGCACGCCTTGAGGTTGGACAGACTCACGAATAGCAAGGGAGCTGATTGACCGGGGATGCAAGGACGTTGGTCGATGGGGGAACAAGGGAAGCAGAGGGGGAACTGGCGAAGCAAAGGTGGGCTATAGGCGACGGCCGACGGTGACTGCGAATCTACGATGTGCGATTGGTGTTCTGTAAACGGCGACGGCGACGGCGAGTGGGTGACTGCCAACAATCTGCGATGTGCGAATCTGCGTGAGGTGAGGCCGAGAGAGATGATGACTAGGCGACGGGAGTGAGGGTGACTGCCGACGCCGACGGTGGTTTGTAAATCTGTCTCTGTGGGGATCTGGGACTAGGAGTCGGAGTCGAGACAGATTGGAACTGGGAGACCAAGAGTAGGAGACCGAGAGAGACGAAGACGGACGAGACGACTCGAACTCGAAGAGTGAGTGCTACTGCTGTCTGCTGAGCGACGCTGCGACGGTGAGCGCCAGAGTCCACGTGAGAGGCTGAGAGCATGAGACCACTGAGACGTGAGTGGCCGAAATTGCGAAACTAGAAGTGGAAGGAAGGAAGACTCTGGTCGGTCAAGAGTGTGTGTGTAACAACAGACTAAGTGACTAACAGTGTAAGAGAAGGGAAGGCGGAAGGGTCAGCCGATTAGGGTTAGGGAGTTAGGGAGTTGGGGACTTGGGGTTTTCTTTTTCTCAAAAAAAAAAAAAAGAAATAGCGGGCTTAAATGGGCCGGCCCGTTTAATTATAAGCCCTACAGGGTTGGCCCTTTTAAGCCCAATTTACTTTTGGAAGCTTCATATTACAAGCCCGACCCTTGACTTAATCGGGCTTAAACGGGCTAGCCCGACGGGCTCGGCCCGTTTTCCCGGCTCTATATAAAATCTCAATCCACTTAATGTCTCATACTATCCTAAATATAAAAGTTAGTTGACTAATTTGAGTAGTTTAAGAAAATAAGTTAAATTAGTTATTTGTAATAAATATGTATTGTTTTTCCTAAAATATCCTTACTAATCAAATATATTGGCTAAAACTACTATTATTAGGAGGACTACCTTGAAAAAATAAATAAATATGAGAAAAAATGAATTGGGGTCTTATATTTAGGAACAAAATAAAAATCAAACTAGGTCTTATATGTCTTATATTTAGGACTAAAATAAAAGTCAAACAGGGTCTTATATGTCTTATATTTAGGACTAAAATAAAAGTCAAATGGGGTCTCATATTAAGAACCAGAGGTAATATTTATCTATTTTTTTAAAATAGTCATTGAGTAATTATACATGTTAAAAATTCTATCAAATGGTAATTCTAGTTAATTCATATGATTAGGAAGGATATTTTAGAAAAGACAAACATCTATTTATTACAAATAATTAACTTATTAACAAACTTTTTTAATCAACTCAAATTATTTAACCAACTCTTATATTCTTACATTAAAGAGCAAAGGTAGTATATCAGTGCCTGCTGCTGCAAGAAAAGGCCTTTGACCAAATTTATGGTCCTTCATTTTCTTGACTTCTTTAGTTGGTCCTGCAAATCACAACACTGCCATGGAGATTGCTCTGGGCTGAACGTGCATAACGACCAGTTATTTGAGATGCCAATTAATTTACCCGCTTCCTTCTCAAACGGGGCTTCAGGTGGCTGCCGAAGCAAGAAGCAGGTATGAGGAGGTGGGCCAACTGACGCTGATGCGTAAAATGTTTACTTTTTGTTCTTTTGAACTATGAAATTGAGGCGCCGGATCCTTCGAAGAAGAGGGAATAGTTGAACGAAAAATATCCGCCACATGACCCACATAACTGCTGCGCCTATTTTTAATATTATCTCCGATTTTTAATATAAAAATTTATTTGATTTTTATTTTGATTTTAAATATAAGATCTAATCCATTTTGTCTTTTATATTTATATATTTTTTCTCAAAATAGTCATTCTAACAATAATAGTTATAGCCAATACACTTGATTAGCAAGGATATTTTAGGAAAGACAACATCTATTTATTACAAATAACTAATTTAACTTCTTTCCTTAATCTCCTTAAATTAGTCAACTACTCTTATAATTAAGACCGGAGGTAGTATAAGAGTTAGTTTGATTTTTAATTTAATTTTAAATATAAGACATTAATTCATTTTGTCTCTCATATTTAACTATTTTTTCTAAAATAGTCCTTATAGCAATTACACAAGTTAAAAATTCCATTAAATAGTAGTTTTAGGTAATAAACATGATTAACAAAGATATTTTAGGAAAGAAACATTTATTTATTACAAATATCTAACTCAACAAATTTTTCTAATCTATTCAAATGAATTAACTAGATCTTATATTAAAAACCAGAAGTAGTATTAGTTTTTCCTTAAAAGAACAAAAAACTATTTATTAAAAAAACACGGCCATGGATAACATTTAGCTTAACTAATTAGAAAGCAAATCATGATTCTTACCTTTCACCTTATTTAGCTTCTTGTATTTCACAAATGTCAATCCTTAAATTTTTAACTCCTTGGGCGTTTTGCGTGACAAACACCCTAGCATGTATCTACCCAGTGAATTTGAAGAATTTCACACTTCTCATCTCCATATAATCAAGTGTGTTTCCAGACAAAACAAATGGCATTTCTAATTACTCTCCCGGTCCTTAATATAAAACCTAATTCTTAAATTGATTTTGGTCCTAAATATAAGACCCATTTTTTATATTTATCAATTTTCTCTAAATTATCCCTATAGATACTTCTTCAACTATAATCAAGTAAAAGAGGGAGAGGGGTATTAAGAAAGATGATTATGGTGTTTTAGAAAAAATATATCACTTTTCTTATACTTAACTAACTTACCTAACTTCTTTAATCTAATCAATTTAGTTAAATAGATCTTATATTAAGGATCAGGAAAATATTAGTTATGAAAAATAAAAAGAAATGGTATATAAGGAAGTAATTTAATTAATGCTTTATACAACTTTATAGAGGGCCTTGTGGCTCTGACTACCATAAATAAGGTTTTTTTTTTTAATTTTAATTCTTTTTTATACGATTTTGGATTTAATTTTCCTACGAAAGGGTGAAATACCCTATAAGTACTCAATCAACTACTCATTTGAGATTTTCGCGCCTTCTTGGTATCTCTGGGACACGTCATCCATTTTGAAGTCCAGCTTTCTCGACAAGCTTTGCCTTCCCGCGAGGCTTGCCTCTTGAGCTTCTGCGGTTTATATTTCAAAATTCTTCGTTCGAAATCTGTGTTGTCAAGAATTATAGAATCGAGTTCGCAATGAGAAGATCCACCAGAAGATCCCTCATCACTTCAGTTGAAGTCGAAGAACCGGTACAGTCTTCTTCCCCTTTTCAATTATCGTTTCGATTTCATTGTATCTGAAGCTTTATAATCTCTTTGGTTAGTAAGAAACCATTGGAAACGAAAAATTTAACTTCAATTTCGTTACTTTTTTGTGGATAATTGACTTTCTGGATGCTGAGTCTCTGTATTGTAATTGGGTATGCTTGGTGTCGTACAAATTCTGTTACAACCCCGCGATTGCTTAATCTTCTCCCAGTTATGCGTTTCATAACTTCACCGAACCTTATCTCTTTAGGTGAGGAATGTCAGTACTAGATTCTCCTTGAAATCGTACGTGAAGAGAGTTCAGCTGCTCACTGATGAGCAAAGATCAGCAATTACAAAAATGGGGTTTGGCAGTGTGTTATCATTTCCCAATCATACGCTCAGCAAAAATCTGTTAGCTGAGCTCATGGAAAGATGGGATTGTGAAAAGCAAGCGTTTATTTTTCATCTGGGTGAAATTTCGTTGACTCTGTTGGATGTGGCTCTGATTTTGGGGTTGAGGGTAGTGGGCCATCCTGTGCACTTAAAAGACGATGAGCCTTTCTCTGATTTGGAAGAGGAATACGGTGCAACCATGTCAAACAGAAAGGTTGCAGTGGCTTCACTTGAAAGTAGACTTGATTCTCTGGGAGACTCTGCTGGTGATGATTTCATCAGGGCATTTCTACTGTATACATTTGGCACTTTGCTTTTTCAGAGTTCAAATGGAAAAGTAGATTCCCGCTATTTATCCCTTCTTCGAAATTTGGACGAGGTTGATCAATTTGCCTGGGGTGCTGCTGTCATCGAAGATTTATCTAAGTGGTTGGACAAGAGGAAAGAAAATAATGTGCAATATGTGGGTGGTTGTCTCGTGTTTCTTCAAGTAAGTTTTAGCGGATGGCTATTTGTTACTTATATGATGGACTAACCCATTCTTATGGACCAACCTTTATTCCTTCATGGCGTCAACCTTTGATCCGTATTTAGATTTCTTGTAAGTGTTATTGCTTAACTTTCTTGTTTATGGCCAACAGACATGGTCTTATGAGCATTTTAACATAGGCCGGCCTGGTATACAAGAACACGATTTGGCCTTTCCTCGTTTGTGTCGATGGCATAATAGTAAATCCAATCAAAGACCTTGGTTTGCTTCAAGGTTTAAGGATTTGCAAGATGACCAGGTAACATAAAAACTTTCTTTAAATTTTATTTTATTCCTATGTTAGTGGCTCCTCTGCGGGGGAAAACATGTGTACTGACTGAAGTAGCAAAAGCGTTGTGCATCCTCTTGTCTGAAGCTGCTATTGAAAATGTTATTTTGATGTTGGAATCTTATGATGGTGCCATATAATTAATTCTCAGTCAAATGCTTTCTAAGGCTGTAAGAAAATCAGGGTGAAGTGGGATTTAATTCCTTTATTATCTGCATGTGCAAGGTAATTTGGACGCTCCAACCAACTCCTCAAGAGTTGGAAGTAGACATAATCAAAGAGGCGTTAGAGTTACAAGATGACTCTAAGGAGCTTCAAAGCGGGCCAAACTGTTCAACAAGTACATCAATCAGCGTAAGCAACAGTTTTAATTGAAGTGGACAAATTTAATTAAAATCAATTAATGCTATTATCAGAAGCGATCTGTTAACAGACTTTTGCTTCAAATCTAAATAAATCATTTTTCTATTCTTCTGGAACTTCCATTTCAATTATGCATGCGTGCCTCTTGTTTTTTTATGATTGATTTGGAATCGCGTGTAAGCAGGTTCCTGATGTAGATTCAGAGCTACAAGACAGTACTTCTAAATCTCATGAATTGCAAAAAGAGCCGGAGGTCAATTTTGATAACGAAATAGTGGAAGACAGTCCCACAGAGTTGGGCACATGTGGTAGAGTTCGTAGAGAGGAGGCGTATTTTGAAAACCAAATAGTGGAGGACACTCCCACGGAGTTGAACGCATTTGATAAAATTCATAGAGAGGAGTCGAATTTTGAAAACCAAATAGTGGAGGACACTCCCACAAAGTTGAATACATGTGATAGAGTTCATGGAGAGGTCAATTTTGAAAACTTGATAGTGGAGGATACCCCCACAGAGAGCAGCACATGTGATGAAGCTCACAGAGAGGTCAAAAACCTAACAGAAGAGGTTAGCCCCACAAAAAGCATTTGTGATCAAGTATGCAGTGAGCAAGAGGTCAACCTTGAAAAACTCATTGTGGAGGACACTCCGACAAAGTTGCGCATTTGTGATGTGAGATTATATATCATTGAATTTCTTCATATATACTTATCTGCATTGAATCATGAAATGAGAGACTTATTTGGGTAACAGGATGATTTGAGGGAGAGGGCTGTCATGTCGGAAGCCAAATATGCTGGATTGAAGGAGGAAATGAGCCGATTAAGGGAGGAAAATAGACTTCTTCAGAGGCAGGTTTCTCTAAATTCACAATTTGAAGCACAGAACGCTGATTTGAAGAAAGAGCTGGACATCTTAAGGGAAGAAAACCTACGTTTAAGACTCTTGATAAATAATTACGTGATCCGAATGGACAGACACATTCTGTCTGCAGAAACAAGGGACACTGAATAAACGTCACCCCGTTCTATACATGGTAAAGCAATTTTTATCCATTAAATCTTCTTTTTTCTTCCTGCTTTGTTAACTTGCAAGCTGCAAAGCTATGGGTTTTTGTTTCACCTCCTTGGACTCTTTATTGACAAGTATCACATCTGCTGTAGACTTCAACCTTTGGCACTTACCTTGAGGGTCATGGTAATGGCTGTCAGACCACCTCACTCATGCTATCCTCAAGGGGGTAGATGTTGCCACGTGTCGAACAATCTCAGTTCTTGGCCAAGGCATAAACTTTGCATTGCCAAGTGTATATATATTTGTTGCTAAAAAATGAAGAACGTAACATAAGTGCAGCTGCGTAGACTGTAGACTTGAGGATGAAGTTGCAAAAGAGGTTGCTCTTAAATGAAGCCCTGAATTCTTTGCAGGTAAATCCATAGGTGGCGTTATTTATTTTAACCCTTGCTGTATATTTTTGGGCAGATTTTTAGTTATACTAGCACTGGATGATGTTGGGAGTCAAAATAATAATTTGTAGTTGGTATCAGTTTTCATTACTTTAAGGCATAAAAGTTTGCTGTTTTGTGACGTTGCGTGGAGATTTCTTTCATACCAGCCTACATAGTCATTGTATCTCTCCATTTGCGTTGAGACCCTGGTAACATATGAATTATTTGTGAATCTTAATTCATAACCCCTTCTTATTTATCTTATTTTGGATCTAGAAATCTAACGGTTTCCAAAGTCCTTGTAGGTTTAGGGAACTTGAAATATCCGAAGTGACATGTTGAGCTACCAAAAGTTATAATGAAACATAAAGTTTTCAAATCAACTACCAACACAAACTGCATATCATTAAGGAAACAGCTGCTTTTACATTGCATTACTCTGCCTAGGGCATAGCAGCATATAGAAGCAGTACGGGCCCTACAACTACCCAGAGATACAAGAAGACTAGTAGATTAGATCATGCTTCAAAGAAGCAGGTTCGCTAATGATCTTCCATGTGGGTTGTAACCACTTATTCACACACATGCTGCTACATCCCTCAATTACTTCTCCATCAACCTTACTGCACTCTGCATCCAAGAAAAAGAAAAGCCCGTAAGAATAAAAAAGGCCGATAATAAAGGGATATATAGTTCATGCTGTTTATTAGTGCAGATTACCTGCTGCATTATGCCATATTTTAATAATATCAGACCCCCACCAGAGATGGCAGTAAGCAGTACAACATATTGAGGAAAAATTCTTAGGCAATCCTTTTTGTGTAGCACAGAGACATGTAAGCATGGATCAACATAAAATTTTTGGCTGACATCTGAAGATTTGATTTTTTTACAGACAATAATGACGTTATGCAATTCATGTAGATGACCCACTTATGGGGTTAAGGCTCGAGAAAGAATGAATAGAGACAGGTGAGCATCATAAGCATGCATTTAAGTGGGAACGTACTATTGGTCTTTAGTCTATTGATCATTTGCACCAAATCTACCTAAACTTTTCATGCAGATAAATCAGTCAAGTGCATCAGGCAAACACGCCACAAAGATTGATTGTAGTCTAGTGATAAAGAGTCTGGATAGTTAGCAACAAGTCTTAGATTCAAATATTTGTTTTGAGAAAGACAACATAAGAAAGAGGATTCAAATTACCTGCTACAGTCAATATTGGGGCTGATCTGGTAAGGAATGTTTACCCCACATTTCCTAGGAAGGCCAGCAGCGAGGTTAAGATTGTTGTTATTGTAAGGGATGTTCCTAATAGCATTCTTGATGCAGTTGCAAACGGTTTTGCGGTCAGGTGTGGTCTGAGCCTGGTTAAAGAGGGTCCTGACCCCATTACAGCATTGCCCCGGCACGGTGGCACCGCCGTTGACTATGTAGGGAACACATGGTGACAGGTCGGTCATCACCTGGTCGCATGTCACTGCGTTGGCCTTAGGAGAACAAAGTGCTAGGCACACTATCAATAAGCTAAGCAACCTCACCACAAGTGAACTTGCCATTAGTCTCTGTTCTTGGTAAAGATGGTAGTTCGGACTGGCCTGAGTTTTGGGATACTACGTTAGTTGAGGTTTCAGCGTATGGTATTTATAAAAGGGAGGGAAGGGCGTGACAGAAAAACTTTGGGAAAATCACTCTTATGTCCCACTCAACGATTCATAGCTAAAAAATAATAAAAATCCCTTAAAATCATTAAATTACTCTGAAATCTCATATCCTTCAATATAACACATTATAGATGATAAGCTTGGCTTATTGCCTAATTGTTATTTATTATATTAAAGCTTAATATAGCAACTGTTTAAGTTTAAGTTTAAGTTTTATATAACAACTTTAATACTCCCTCCGTTCCTTATTATAAGAGACATTTAGTGCTTATGGCATGTTCTTATATATAAGAGACATTTAAAAGTTGTCTTTACTTTTTTGTGTTGATTTCCTATTTTATCCATATTTATTGTTTCAAACTCACACTCTCTCTTTTTCCCACTTCTCTTTCTTTTAATAAATTACTATTGTTCTCTCTCATATTCTTTCTCCTTATTAATGAAGGCATTTTTGGGAAAAAAATTATAGTTTTTACATATTAATTGTTCTTAACTAATTTTAACTGTTTTTTTGATCAATGTAATTCGGTTATTCGTTTATTATAATAAGGAACGGAAGGAGTATAATACACTGCCGATTACTTTTTAAAAGGCAACTACCTAAGTTTATTATGTCACAATTTGCTTTATAAGTTCTTAGGTCATATATTGAAACTAGGTGGCATTTAAGACTGGACGAAACTCAACAATTTATAATATGTTACCTGAGATATATCCATGATATGGGCTGGAAATTGTTTTGTTGTTTTTCATTAGTGAAACTGCATACAAACCCATCAAGCTTGAGCTGTGTTGATGGGGGTGGATAATATCAAAATATTAGGGCAAATGTTTATGACTGCGTAGGTGGGGATGAAGGAAAGCAGAAGATGATGATGGGACAAAGGCACGTGGGAGTGATTGTTTGGGTAGGTGGGTTAGTTCAGGGCCATAAAGAGCTGTGGTTGGGCTAGTTTAATGCAGTAATTACTGTAACAACAAGGCCTGGCTTCGCTATGAGGTGAATGAAGAAGCAACATTTTATACGGATCTGCTCAATCACTGCTATTTCTGTGAGTCATTTATTAATGATCCAAAAGCCTGACTTTATGCACAAGGTTTATCTACACTTCTGAGTTTCCAGTAAGTTACTGTTAGGCAAGAACGAGGGGTTCTTCACCAAAAATAACTGAGTGGCATCAAGTCTCCGGGTTCATTTTTGAAAAAGCAGTGTTAATGAGTGGTGGCTAAAGTGACGATTCAATTTCACGGTGAGTTGGTGAACAACAATTTGTCCAATTTGTTTAATGCCTATCTGAAAAAGATTAGTGGGATTTCAGATCAGTTTCTGGAAATATAACAATCTTATTAGGAAAAATATGGCTTTTGATTTTTATCTATCACATCTTATCTTATTATTTGCAAAAGCTTGTAAAAATTAGCTCCTCAAAATAATCATAAATATTTTTCTTTAAATTTGCATTATTTTAGAATATATGAATAAACATTATAAAATTTCTCAAAGCAAGTTAAAGTGCATTTTTTGTCCACTTTAAAAAGGCTCGAGTACTTGGTGGGTCTGATAGGTATCGTTGGGCGTAATTATTTGTTAGGTATTGCCCATAAGTAAAAATAGATATAATTTAGTACTGATAGTGTCTCAAATAAAATTATTTTTAATAAGAGAATATATGATGACAACCATTAGAACCGAGGGACATTTTTTAGCAATCTGAAACGTTTTTTTCTTTGCAAAAAACACTGAAAATATTGTGGACTGAGAATTATTCTAACCTTGATGAGTTCTTTCCTTCTCCGGACTTGATCCGCTGAATTTTATTGAAAAAGTATCTTTTCAAAAGTGAGATGAATTATTTTTTTTTTTCCATTTTTGATAAATTGTTTGCTTTATTTTTTTCCTATCAACTTATATCACTAATGAATTAGCTAACTCTTCGTTGGTAGACATTTGAATATAATGCATCTTGTTACTATAAATTATCTGATTTTTTTCTTATATGTAAAAAATCCAATTAGTTTAAGCAAAAATGGTCTTCCGGACTATCTCGTATAAGAAATGCTTCCTGTGTCTTTTGTTAAAAAGAAACAGTTACTACTGAAATCACACGGTTTAAAATATTACTTAAAAGTAATAAATATGTAATATATATTTCAACTATACTTATCTGGTCTTATTTATAAGATAAATAGAAAAAAACATTTTTTTTGTCTTGTTATAGGGCATTGAAAGGAATTTTTTGTATAGATGTACAATAAATATGTAATAAAGTTGAAAAGTTATTAAATTTTTAACGAGAGTTAACGAAATTTAAGATTTTTCTTAATTTGTGTAAAATATGTTGGAAGTGACTTATAAATACGATCAGAGTAATATTATTTGTAGAAAGAATACATGAGACAATGAATGAACATTTATTGCTAAGGGATAATAGGTAGCATATGTTTAATAATGGAGGTAAAAGTAAAAAAAAAGGCTAGTTTAACATTTCAAACAAAGAGGACTTATTTCTTATATTTAGGAACATTATTATAATAATAAGAGAAACTGTTTTTTTTATAAAAAAGGATGGAGGGGGTATGTATAGTCTATCTCTTGGGAGAAAACGTTAACAGTCATTTTATTGTCAAATTTAAGTCTTTTTCTTTTTACCAAAATTATTAAATTTAAGTCTACAGCATATATCATAAGACATCAGAATATCAATGAGATATACTCCTCCGGTCCTAATTATAAGACCCAATTGACTTATTTGAGGAAATTAAGGAAGTAAGTTAAGTTGGTTATTTATAATAAATAAGTATTGTCATTCCTAAAATATCCTTGCTAATTAAGTATATTGACTAAAACTATCATTATTAGAAGAATTATCTTGGAAAAAAATGCATAAATATAAGAGACAAAATGGATTGGGTCTTATAATTAGGACCAAATAAAAAGTCAAATTGGGTCTTATAATAAGGACCGGAGGAGTATGATTTGTTACGCGCATAAAATTAATCAGCATATTTTTTAACAGCTGCCACTAAATTAAAAATGTTAAAAACTGCTAGATCTTAATAAATAAACTTTTTGTAGCAACCCTACGGATTTTGATTACACTCATTTTCATTATAAATATAAGAGCTATTCTAACAGTTTGTTTTAATTCTAAATTAGTAACTCAATTTATTTGTTTTTTCAAATTTACGATTATTTTTTCCTTAACTCTTCCTGTCAATTACATATATTAAAGGATTTTATAATTAAGAGAATAATTTTCAATGCAAATTATTAAAAGAAATATTTTATGAAAACATACATTTATTAACAAACAACTAAACTAATTTTTTAATCTCTACAAATTAATTATTGAAGTTCAACATTTATGACCTAGTACCAGAGTAATGCCAAAGAAGGATTTGAAACCAGTTACTCATACTTCTTATTTCCATTCTTATGGTCTAGGTGGTACGGAAAAAACACTATTAAAGAAAATAGTTCAAACGTGGCAATAGAAATTATAGAACTGGAGAGAAATATTTTCATGAAGAAAAAATGTGTGTTGAAAAAAGAAACAATTATTTTATTTTGTTACTAAAGCTTATGTATCCTCCTATTTAAGACACTATCGAGTCCTAACATGGTTCGTCATGTTGTGAGGAATCAGTCTTTTTTTACTAGACCTAATTCCTATTGGTTATTTAAATTATTTGTATTAGTGTGAGAATATAAATCACATTATGCTTATAATAATTTTTTATATGATGTCTCTCCTATAGGCTACGCAAAAAAGATGGCATTACAAGTGAAGTAATTCGTCAATAGCGTGTCAAGGAAAATGATTTAATATTTTTTAAATAAAAATATCATATTAAGAGAATGATCCATATATTAGAATTTGACAATGCCCACAAATAGATTGACAGCTGTACCAAAAATGCAATAGTTCGTCAAGTAATTATTGTTCTTCTAATTGAAAATGAAATTCATAAATAAGGCCTAACCCGACTGATACGGGCAAAGGCTATAGGTTATACTAATTAAGGATAGAACCTAATTGCTAATTACAAAACAATAGATGATGTGAAGCACCCAAATTATTGACCATAATCAATGTATGATAAAATGTTCCACCAAGCTTATTAATATTAATATTTATTGGTTGAGATCTTATTGTTGGAGGCAACACCTAAATTTTCCAAAAGTCAAACAGATCTTCCAGCTCCTCTATAATGCTTTGCAAATCCTGTTAAAGGTAACACTTGCAGAGAAATGGTAAATCCGAGTCGTGTCCTACAGACACTGTCTTTAAAAGTGATTCCGCAACTACCGGCAAAGCAAGAAGCAGCACTCTTCTAAGATTAAACGGATTCTTCCTATTAGAGTAGGGTGAGCATAGTAGCAAAAGACAAAAGAATTCAATCATAACTCACTTAATGAGGATTGGGCACTTAAACACAATTAAGTTTCAATTTCAAAATCATTAACTCATTTAATGAGAATTTAGAATTATTAAAGACGTCAGTTACAAATATTAAAGAGGTATAATGGTGATTAAAGAGGTGGATTAATTAGACAGATATTTTTCATAAAGAGTGCCTAGTACCGCGTTTAACTCATGCACAGGGGATGAGGAGAAATTTCCATATTTGTCTCTGGTAGCGCATTATGTATGCGAGCCCACTTCTCTTCTTGGCCTATTTGGTTGCCCAAGACCATTTATTACTTGGACCCACACAACTTCCAACAATGTGGGACTCTTCCTTTGACACACTTACACACATTATTTACAACACTTATAACCCAATAGCTTTTTATTGGGTTTAAATTAAGGAGAATTTTCTTTTTAAAAAAGTGTTCTTTTTTAAATTGAGTAATTTTCTTTTTATATAGACAGACGGAATCCAAGTTCATGCTCGTGTGGAGTCCAATTGAGTAATTTCAAAAAATTAAAAAAAAATTAAAAAATAACTTAATCATAGCACATATTACATGATAAGCTAAGCAAATTACTCCTCTAGTCTTAAATGTAAGACCTTTATACTGTGTATAAGGGTCTTACATTTAGGACCGGAGGAGTAGTTTAGAGTAAAATGATAAATATAAATACTAATTTTTTTAGTTTTTTTTAAATTAATTAACTAAATTTTATATTAAGGACTAAAGTTACTATATATTCTTTTGACATTCCCAACTTGTATGTGCTGTACATTTTTTGTTCAATTTAGCTTTTGATATTTTTAAAATTAAAGAATGAATATGAAAAAAGACTAATTGAAAACGATCCCAATTTAGGAATTTCTTCTCATGCTTTCCTAGATTTTCAGCTTATATGCGAACATATATTCTTGTTCCTTTTTTTTAAAGATGCCTGTATATGATGAACGAGGTCTTCATTAAGCAACATTTTAAGATTTTCGAATTCAAAGCATTATCATTCTTCTCATTTGATCCAGAGTATTAAAAAGTTTCATAAGAATGATCGAAGAGTTATATACAAGAATGATCCAAAATTTTGTAAATTACTAGATTGTAAGCCTTGCACTTATAAACAACTTATATTTGATCCAAACGATTATTTTAAAAAAATGAATGCCATTATTAGCAAGTCTCACAACAACTAAAAAGTCTCATAATAAGTGAATAGTCATGAAAAATGACAATAAGTCTGTCTTGCTTATTTATTGTCAAAACTTTTCAACGATTACATTTATTTCTTAGATTTCTTAGTACTTCATAATATGACTTAAGTGGTTAATGACGTTTGGAACGAGATCATAAGTATTGTGGTTTGATGATCAAATACTGTCATGTACAGAAATATTTTATACTGTATTTAATTAGCTATAACCTCTTATACCATGTTATCGTTGGATATTTTTAATTACTAAATATATCAAGTAATTAGTGGGATAAAATAATTAACAAGGCATAAGCAAAGGTTAAAAGTAGGATATGGATATATACTATGTAAAGTGGCACAAGGGAGAAGCCATATTACACGACGAAACTATAGAGAAACTAAAGCTACATATAATAATATATATATAAAACGAAACTAAGTTGTGGAAGGTCTTCAAGTCATCGCACTGATCACTGTGTAGTAACCCTCCTTTATTCTCTAGTACTCCTATTTTCTCTTTCATATCTTCACCTCAGAACTTGATGCTGCAATTCCCAATACAAGAAAACACCGCCGTTAGTAGCATACACAAATATATACAAAACACACACACACACACGCACAGATATATAGCAACTCATACATGATATTTTAAAACAGTACATATATAACTAACGACATGATGAAGGTATACACATAATAATCAAAACAAAGATTAGTTGTTTCACTAAAACTTGCGTCTTGCTCATCAGAAAAAAACATGAGAGTTGATGAATCTCAGGAAAATGGGTGTATATATACATATATATATTTATATGTATAAGGTTAGATATGTGTATATACCTGGCACAGTTGGTTGAGGTGCTGATCTTGTAGGGGATGTTGACCCCGCAGAGGGAAGGAAGAGACTGAGCATACTGATTGTTGAGTCCGGGGACCTGACCGGCGGCACCCTTGAGGCAGTTGCAGACAGCCTGCTTGTCGGCGGTGGTCTGAGCAGCGCCGACAAGGGACTTGACGCCGTTGCAGCAGCCGGGCGCCGGAGTGCCACCCTTCTGCAGGTAAGCGATGCATGGCGCCAGGCTGCTGGAAACCTGACCGCAGGTAACGGCCTCCGCCATGGGTGCAACCACCAGGGCCACGCAGAGCACCGCCATGAATGCCACCTTCATGAGACCCGCCATTGTTGGGAGCAAATAAGAAAGACAGATACTGCGGCTACACAAAGTTCTTTGATTCCGAATTGCTTTGGTTGCTTTGTGGTGACGGGTGTGAGTGAGTTTATATAGAGAAATTTGTGTTGGGTAGGAAGGAGGACGATAAGGTAGGATCACTGTGAGTTCATAAGAATTAATTGTGATTAAGATTGATTTGCGATCATTTGTTGGTTGGCCCCAAAAAAAAAATCAAGTTAAAAAGTTCATTAACATATTCATTTTGGTGCTGGTGGGATTTATGGAAATTAGATGTGAAATCTGATTATGAAGAAGATTGGGATATAGAGAGTCAATTGAAAGAGACTGGAAATTAAAAGCAAGATCTGAGGCTGGAATCCATTAGTCTATGCCTATTTTTAAAGTTGTTTTTTTTTTCAAAGTGGTACTTGTAAGAATAGTAATTTTAATCAATATACTTGATTAGTAAGGATATTTTAAAAAAAATAATATCTCTTTATTACAAATAACTAAATTAACTAGTTTTTTTAATCTACTCAAATTAGTCAACTAGTTCTTACATTAAGGACTGGTGGTAGTAATAAATAAAATAATTATTGCTTCGATTCTTAATATATGTAAAAGGTAATAAATTGTAGAATAAAATAAATTGCCTCTATTTTTAAGTTTTTGATATTTACAGGATGACGTATTATAAAATATAACGGATTGTTAAGTAGATTTTATGAAATATATGAATGCCTAGTTTTTTTTTTTTTGGACTCAAGAATGCCTAGTTTATTTCTACTTTCTAATCACTAATATACATGTCACACGAGAAATATGGCCAATTTTCCTAGTTTTCATTTTCTATTTGGTTGAACGAAAATGAAGGAAAGAAATATTTTAATAAAATTGATTTTTAAAAATGGGAGAAATTGAGTTGAAAGCTTTAATTGATTTTTCCGGTTATATATATCCATATCGTCTTCCTTCCTAATCTTTCTTTTTTTTTAAAAAAATAAATTCTTTAAAATTTTTCTTTCGTCGCCTTTCATTGCCCTCGGACAAGACAAAAAATTAATAACCCCGTGTATACCACTGGGTAAAAACTAGTTCCCTTTGAGGCCCAACTGAAATTGAGTGCATGAAAAAAAATAGGTATATAATTTTTTTTCCATAATTCAAGGAGATTCATGTAAGGGAAAATGACGGAGAAAGCGGAATATATAATATTATAATTTGGGAAGTTAAAGAAATATATTAACAGAAAAAAGTTCTTCCTAAACTAGAATTTTAAAATTCAGTGAAATAACAAAAATATTTTTTGTATTTTTTTAAGAAAACCTCAGCCTTGCTACCGGCGGCCGGTGTGGTGACTGCAGGTAGATTTTTTTGTCATAGTATTTTTTTTTTACATGGGAGAATATTAGTTCAAATCGAGGAGTGGGATTTGATCCCACAACCCCTTAGTCATTTGGGTTGGAAAAAAAAAAAACCGTTGAGCTATCAAAAACTTCTTAACTTTATAATGCAAACAAAAATATAAGTTAACTTTTTTACTGTGACTTCAGCCCGTGATAACAATTTACCTGAGAATGACAAGTCTTAATTAAGAAATAAAAAATCTAAATTTGATATTAACAAAGCAACTTTCTTATTATTTCTCAATTAAGACTTGTCATCCTCGAGTAAATTGTTGCACGGGCTAGAGTCATATTAAAAGAATCAACTTATATTTTTGTTTGCATTATAAGGTTAAGAAGTTTTTGATGGCCCAATGATCATCTTTTCTTTTGTTGGCGCAAATGGCTAAGCGGTTGTGGAATCAAATTTCACCTCTGCCATTTTGAACCAATATTCTCCCATGCAAAAAAAAAAAAAACTGTAACAAAAAAACTCTAGCAGCCACCACACCGATGGCCGACACCGGTGCCCAGCGGCAGTTGCCGACTGCTGGTGGCCAGTCGTCGGCGGTGGCTGCTGGCCACCAGTGAGGAGTTGAGGTTTTTTAAAAAAAAAAAAAACAAAGAACATTTTTGTTATTTTACTGAATTTTAAAGTTTCAATTTGAGAAGGACTTCCTCCTTGTCATTACATTTCTTTGGCTTTCCAAATTAGAATATCATATATTCCACCTTTGTTTATCTGTCATCTTCCCTTCATATAATTTACTTGCAAATAAAATATGTCTAACGAGAATATTAAATTAATGAATGACTTGGGGATCCACTGGTATGGGAAAACTAATGAGGGAAGTGGAATTTCTCACGAAATAGGTCATTTATTTATTGTTCAGGTTAACAAAATAATATTGAAAAGTACTCCTCTTGTCATGTTAATAGGAGAGAGAGAATTTTTTTTAATCCTATTCATGAGGTGCTTAGAAATTTTTTTGTTATGGATGTACAATTTTACTTCTCATTTATTATTGTATTTGATTTTTTTTTAACAAATGCATTTGACTTTATTTACATGAGGTATAATGTGTATTAAATAAGGATTAAAATTGAAAAGTTGTTAAATTTTAAATAAAATTTAATAAAATTTAAGATTTTTCTTAGTCTGTGTGAAATATGTTGAAAGTAATTTATAAATAACACTAGAGGAATAATTTACCGATTAAACCTTCAAAAAGCTTTGCTTTTCCAGTATTTCATATTTATCATTACTGTCAAGTCCCAAATAAAAATATAATTACTAAAAAGTTTTGGTAATAATAGAACGGCTTATAATGACAAATTTAAAAATACTAAATGGCAACTATCGCTCAGTATTAGAATTTACTGATGATTCTTTTTTTTTGAATTCTCCCGATTTATTTTCAAAAGTAGCTTTTATAATAATATTTTTGACCAGTATGAAGGAGGCTTATAATTATACTCCCGATACCAGGGTCATTAATATTACTTAATGTTATTTTTAAGATAAATTTAATTTCCAAAAATAACATATATCTAACAAACAAAATATGATAAAATTCATGGGAATCAAATAATTAATTACTACTCCTCCGTTACCAGTTTTTTCAATCGTGCTTCCATTACATTTTTTAATATATTCATAATACTTATATAAAATTTTTTATATTTATTTTTATTGTGATGCATATTCATACATGATTGGAGAAAATATAAAAAACTTCATTTAAATGTTTTTTTTAATATATACTACATCTGTTTCTTAATATAAAAGTTAGTTAAAAAATTATATTTGATTATAAATATAAAACATCAAACTAATTTTTTTTAAAAAGATATTAATTTACTTTGTCTTTTAAATTTGTAATTAATTTTATAAAACATCTCTATTGATTAAAGATGATTTTTATTTAAAAGTAGTTATGATTCAAAAAATACTTTATGAAATTTAACTTATATTTGTTATAAATAACAAACTTAACAAACAGAACAATAATTAAAAGTAAGATATAAATTTTGAGATAAGTCATACTCTTATAATCTAAAACATAAGATCCCTATATAAATATAGGAGTTTTATATTTAGAATCAGAAGAGTATTAAAAATAACAAAATTCTCTCCGTCGTATGACTAAGATGGTGGGAGTACAAGGTCAGAAAGACCACGTGTACAAACGAAATGAAGGCATGTGGAGATGAGCAATAAATGGGCCATCATCCAGTTGTACGGTCTGATTCAGAGGGGAGCGAGGGTGAAGGGTGTGGGTAGTTGAGGGGAATTGAATGGCTGTCTCTTCACTCATGTGCTGTCAACACCTGCCTTCATCTGAACCGTACGATTCGTACGGCATGGAGTGCTCGAGAATCCCATTATTGACCGCCTTTTACCCTTTCTCCCACCTAACTTTATTAAACATTGATCCATCAAAGTATTCATGTTCTCCCTCTTCTTTCGCCGATCCGTTTGACTAGTATAGGGAAGTTTGGTTTTAATTTATATAAAATATGTTTATAAGTAATTTAATCATGATATTTTACAAATCATGCTGCTTATAAATTTTCCTTCCCTTCCTATGATTTAATTTTTATAAAAATAAATATCATCATAATTTAAAAAAATAAATAAACTTAAACGGTTAAAATTTGATTTCAACCGACTATCATGTTACAAGGGAGATTTTTTTAGAATTTTTTTTTTATAACAATAAACTGTTGACATAAAATTTTAACAATTTAAATGTATTTATATATTTTTAAGTGAAATTATAATAATATTTATTTTTAGAAAATATTTAAGACGCAATATTGAATTTTGATCCAAATGATCGTAGAGGAGGGGTAAAAAGACAGGGGAGAGGATTCCCTCCCCGTTTTTTTTTTTTTTAGCTCCTGATCTGGTCACTCATAAGAGAAGTTGCTGGTTGAATTCAATTTATAACAACAATATTTTAAAGTTTTTTTTTTCCAACACAACTTTTTTAAAGTGCTAATAACTCTTCTAAAAATATAATTTTTTAAAGTAATACAAATACACTTGAACCCTTCATTTTATAAGTGATGTGTAACACAAAATGTTTCTCATTACCTATCATTTTAAATGTTGGTTTTTGGCATGGTATTTAGTGAACCCATATTAAAAAATAGTTAAAAAATTACATATCAATTATATTTGTTGCCAGAGTTTTTTTATTTAGATGATTTTCTGTCATTTTGATCTGTTTTTATGTAAACTATATTAATGTATTGTCATATTTAATTATACTCTCTCAATGTATTTTTTTTACATTATTCAGATACTCAATTTTAAAAATAATTAATTTTTTTTCTTTCATTCAACTCAATAACTAGTGATAGTAATATTAATAAGAATTGTAGGAGGGGAAATAAAGCTCTCACACACAGTATAAGATTGTATCTTGGCATCTTTACTTAATACTACCTCCGGTCCTAATTATAAGACCCAATTGACTTATTTGAGGAGATTAAGGAAGTAAGTTAAATTAGTTATTTGTAATAAATAAGTATTGTCATTCCTAAAATATCCTTGCTAATTAAGTATATTAGCTAGAACTATCATTATTAGAAGGACTATCTTAAAAAAAAATACATAAATATGAGAGATAAAATGGATTGGAGTCTTATAATTAGGATCAAATAAAAAGTCAAATGGAGTCATATATGAAGGACCGG